GGTAGCAGGCTTAAGTCGGATAATCATCTGCTTGATGTGGAACCAGTGATTCATCACTTCCCATCGTTGTAATACCAGAACCATGTTTTTATCTCCCGTCTCCCTCGACAACACATAAACACCAGCACTCTCGCTTCAGTTATTGACAAACTGGTTGTACAGTACGTGCTGCCAGGACGCAGAGTTTCTCACAAGGAAAGTCACGTATTCAGAGTTCAGATCGGACCAGAGGTTTGGACTCACCGGTACTTTAAGAATGAATAAATCTTGTCGTGTGAGTTGATAGTTAAAGAGGGAGTATCTGGATCGATAGTGAACATCGACCACGTTTGTTAGAATTAGAAATCAAATGGCTGGTGACCTGGCGTTGGAACGTCATTAGCTGATTGGTGTGTGTGTGTGTGTTCATCACTGCCCAACCGGTCCAAACAAAGGAACCGGGTTCTTTTAGCACTCAGCCTAATTAATCCATCTCTCAGCGACAAAAGGCTCCCCGCCCCTCCTCTCTCCGGCCCGTCCCATTGGCATTTTAGGGCAGAGGGATTCAGCAGGACCCCCGGGCACCCTCCTGCCCTGACCCCTGCCCCCCCACCAGGGGAGCATCTGTGGATCGATCCAAGGCCAGCTGGCACCAGGGGAGAGGGGCAGGACTGGTACTCGGAGGCGCTCGGCTCCAGCTAGGGCTGCTCCATGATGTAAACCTGATACTGGGGTGGTTTGTGGACAACTTTCATAACGACTGGGAAGAAATAATCATCCTGGAACGATTGCAGGGATTTTGGAGCCGAGTGCACCTGCAACGACAATTAAAAATAATTTAAATAAAGCTTCTTTGTCATATGATACAACCCTGGAAAAGGCATCCAAAGCTGTGTTTTTCGTCAGTCAGAGCTCGGTGATGCTGATTTAAATGGTCAAACAGTTGCGTGACGTCGCTGACTTCTCATCTGTAGCTTGAACTTTTCTTTTTGCAACCAAATCTTCCTTTCCAGTGTTTCTTTCTTGTCCCTCATGCGTTTTGTTGTGCACATGTGGAGCCTGCATGTCAACAAACTGTGTGTCTTTAAATAAAGTTATTACAAGAGCTTAAATCTGAGTAAATGATCTGAGTAAATCTGGACTTCTTTAGTTGATTGGTCATGGAAAATGAGAACAAAGTTGTCCTGTCACACTGTCGATGCTGTAATGATAAATTGTGCACCTTTCCTGGATAGAAGTCCTTCCTGACAAAAACTTAAAGCGTGCAGAGTAGCTGTAGGTGTGCTGCAGGTTTGGTTGCTCTCGTTTTTTTTTGGTCTGGTTTGTGTGAGCTTTGTGCAAAGTCAGAGCTGGAGCCTGGCCTCTTAACGCTACGCTGCAGTTGTAAAGAGATGCAGCTAGGGGGCAGCATACAGCCATCACCCCCTCCCTCTTTATTTCTACCCTCTTGCTTCTCGTCCACACACACTGTCACACACACACACACACACACTCTCTCACACACACACACTCAGGTATTTAGCGGTTGTCTCGGCTCAGGAAAAGAGAGCATATTGATAGTCCTATCCTCCCTGTAATAAATTAAACTTCTGCATTGTCCTTCCCTTTCATTTTACACATTGTCACAACCTCCCAGTCAGCCTAATCCCAGTTACCCCCCCTCCACACCACCACCACACCACCAGCACCCTCCCTCAAACCTCCTCTCAAACACACATTGATTGACAAGTAGCGTCCGGGGAAATAGAGCAGATTTCCATTGTTTGCCGCCACTACTCAAATCTGTTGAAACGGTTATTCCATTCTTTTGCCGGAGTATTTGCATATCCTTAAGTATTTCCTATTTTTCAAGACCACCCCCCTCCTCTGTTTCTCCCCATCCTCCTTTTTGCTAAATCCCCTCTTCTTAAGTGTTTGGTGCATTTGGCAAATTCATTCATAAAGTATCTACATGCGCTATTAGCTTAGTATAATAGCCAGGGTGTAATCTGCAGAGAGATAAGAGGTAGAGAGAGAGAGAGAGAGAATTTCTCTTTTTTTTTTATTTAACTCGTCTTCTTCCTCTCCTGATGGGGCGGCTCTGTGGACAATCGTGGCGGTGATACGTCATTATGTTCCCCCCCCCAGCCAAAAGCGACGAGGCTCAAATGTCAACACGAAATGTCAAGTGGCCTCGCTGCTCAGTCGGTTTGTTTCTTCTGTCGGTTTTTATTTAATTATCGGTCCGAGGCAGGAGAGAAGAGATGGAGGGTTGGATGGGATGTTGACAGGAGAGTTGGCTGGAGGTGGACGAGTGGAAAAGCAGGATGAAAACAAAAGGGATGGAGATGTTCATCATGTTTACAAGAAGTAGTTTATTAAAGAAGTTCCTCAAGTCTGGGATTCACACTGTCCTCTATTGCAGGGGTTCTCAAACTGGGGGTCGGGACCCTCATGGGGGTCCCAAGATAAATTCAGAGGGTCGCCAGATCACTGTATAAAAAATAAAAATAAATAAAGCCTACATTTATCAATTATATGTGTATCAGGGCTGTCAAAATGAAAAGTGTATGATTTGATTATGTGATATTATTATTCCTTTTTGCTCTTTTTAAAATAGTTTTCTTTTGTTTTTATATTTTTTTCCCTTTCATTTGTTCGAAATAAATTCAATTCATTCATTCATTCAAAAGAAAATTATTGTAAAGAGATTAATCTGTGGAATTAACACATTGTTGAGGAATCTTTCCTCTGAGCTTTTTAAACATCATCATCAAACAGCAACAGGATCCAGATGAATGTCTCAAATGAGTGAGACTTAATTAATTAACGAACTTCTCATAATTAAGGATGTCGATCACAAGGATTTCTGACTAAAACTGACATAAAGCTGTACCTGCTTTCTGTATGTTGGGAGACTTTTTTTAGTTTATCACAGGTAAACTTCACACTTATTCCTGCTGTGAATTTACAAAACCTCTGTCGTGGTGCTGCTTTAGGGGCTAAACTCCCACAGAGCAGGTACAGGTAATCATTTATTACATAGCTGTTAAACTCAGGTTGAGTCGGGATGTTTTTATTTTGCTGTTGCTTAGATTGTCATCACGCATCGAATGAATTTCCAGTGTTTAGGAAGTCATAAATACACTGGGCCGTTAGTTATTTGGATGGTTTATCTTTAGTTTACATCGTTTTACTTGTTTCAATGTCCAATCTTTACGACAGAACTCTTGTCATCGGTACGTCTGATGAAGATGTGAGGAACATCGATGACCTCTGTCGCCACTTTACCAGACTAACGAAGCAGCAGTGTTTCATCTGAAAAAGCCTTAAATGTGAAAAAGCAAACATATTTCCTCCTTTGTACGCCAGATATTTCAAAGAGTGTCGGGTTCTGTCGGTTTATTGCAGTTTGTTTGGGACGTAACTTTATGAACATACTTTATTGGCACTAATCCTGATTTTAAGTCTTTTGATTGTAATTACATGTTGTGTGTTCTCAGTGGGTTTAGAAGCAGACATAACTACTGACACTGTTCACTTCTTGACTCTTAACAGCCACGTTTAATACGATTTATTCACAGCTGAAAGTAGCACAAATAGCAATAACGGGGAGAAATAAACTTGCAGTGCATATTCACGCTCCGTGTTGCTCGTCCTGTGGCTGACCTATAGATGTGTAATCTCTATTTGCAGCTTACATAGTTTCTCACTATATTACCAAAAGCTTTACCTCTCTGTGCTGATACAAATTCTGTGTGGGTCTGTCCATGTGTGTGTGTGTATGTGTGTATGAATGAATACCTCGCGGTCCTCAGCGATAAGGCTGAGATTGAGTTTTCCCCACAGAGCCACAGCGTCTGAGGTGTGTGTGCATGTTTTCGTGTGTGAAGACATCAGGAAACAGGCAATGTAAAGAGCTTGTATCGCTTTATCTAGCGCACACGCCACAGCGTATATGTATATGCACTCTCAAACTGGTGTAGTGTGAAAGAGAGCTAGCTGCTCCGCTTTGTTCGGCATTGTGCGCATGAGAGGATGAATCCTCAGGGCTCGATTCACAGCCGAGACAAGAAGGTATTTTTCTGTGGAATAAAACCACAAGTGTGTGTGTGTGTGTGAGGCTGTTTTTAGACATCCACGTAGGGAAATAGAGACAAAAAAATGGAGCAAGAGAAATCAAACATGTAAAGAGAGAAGACGTGTTGCACCGCTGGCTGCTGCTTCCAGTCCACCTGGTCTGAGGGGACGTATGTGGGATCTTCATGTGGGTTTTGGTGCTAAGATCAGCCCCTTTTGTCATTTAACCAGGAAAGGGGGCAGTTTCCCATCACAAAAAATGAGAAAAAAAGAAGCGGTTTGTCAGTGGTATCAGCACAGCGAGGAGGTGAAGCAGTCTGATATTCGCTGACAGCAGGGTGCTCCCATCAGCAGACCTGCAGCAGACAAAACCTATCAGTTTTTGTTGGAGGGAGGGCAGACAAAAGGCTGGAACATCCCCAACTGTTTAGTTTCCATATCTAGCAGCCAGTGACAAGGCTTTCCGGCACTTCTTATTTTTAACACACTGTCCTCTGGTGAGCAGCCGGCGTGCACGCACACATGCAGCGCCGTGTCACTGGTTCTGTAACTCTTATCACCTGGTCTGTGGCATATTCCCAAATTCCAATTTGACTGCTAGCCTCTGGCCCAGAGCACATCTCTGAAAGTGCAGCAGCAAAAAAAGAAAAAAAATGGCTTCAGCGCGGACCTTTGATAGGAAATATCAGGAGGGATTTTACAACAGAATCCACAATGAGGAGGGAACCACTTCCAGCTTGTTCTGCTCTCACAAACCGACAGCGACCGCATGCGCCTGATACTGTGATCACAGCAGCCACTCCTGTTAAAATTGCTCCTATATCCTGCAATTTACTAAAACAAAAATGGAACAAAACCCACTGATAATAACCCCACGTTTTTTCTTGCCATGTCAGTTCAATGTTGTGCCAGTTGAGCTGTATGAGCCTAAAGCTAACGTTCCTCCGTCTTCCTGTCCATAGGAGTCTCCATCAGGGCGGAGGAAGGCCTTGGCCACCAGCAGCATCAACATGAAGCAGTACGCCAGTCCGATGCCCACACAGACAGATGTCAAGCTCAAGTTTAAGCCCCTGTCCAAGAAGGTGGTGTCGGCCACGCTGCAGTTCTCGCTCTCCTGCATCTTCCTCCGTGAGGGAAAGGCCACGTAAGTCTTCTCATGGTGCTATTTAGCGCGCCGTTTCTCTAGTTTTTGAAAGAACTCCCATGAACGATGACATAATACTGTAGCTGAAGTTGGGTATTAGGTTCAAAAATGTTAATTTTAGTCTGCTTATTGGAACCTAAACAAATTTTTACTGGTTACCGCTATCTGTCTGCACCATTAGCCACGAGAGCTGAATTCATGTTTATCTTACAGTCTCCTAATGCGTTTGTCTTCATAAATCTGAGTCTTTCCTACTCAGTCCTCGCTTGATTAGCAGGTGAGCAGCTCAAATGTGTTTAGCTTTACCTTAGTTTAGCTTCAATAGTACTACCAAGGACTGGACTGTATCGTTGTAGTAAAGCAGCTGGAGTCAACCCCAAAATATTCAAGAAACCAGAACAGAGATGCTACACCTATGATTACTTTATGTAGTTGTGTTTCTGTGCCTAATGTTTGTCTGTCATAAGTAGTGTTTTACACAATTCTGCTGTAAAAAATGCAGGACGACGCCATGCTACCATTACTGGCTTTTCACTTTCAGTACCTATTGGGCTTATCGGGGATGATTACAGCTGAATAAAGTGAATTTTCTGCCCTTATAGCAGCACTTTACTGCGGCTGTTACTTAACACAACAACATCACTGGTTTAAAAGCACAGGAAATATATTAGTTTATAACACTATTAAATGTTTGTTTACCGTGGCAGACAGGAAAATGTACTATGATGTTAAAAGTAAAAGTATTCACTGCAGAAAAATGTCTTCTTTGAGTGTTTTACTATAATAAAAGTAATTATACCACTAGATTATTAGTAGTCTTGTATTAATGTGAAATATTTGTAATGGACTTTGGTGGCCCGAACTGCCAAAGACTCATTATGTGCACACTGGAGTCATTCCCATTGATGGTAGTAGTGGCAGCTTTTGAACGTACAGCAGCATAAAAACCATAAGTTAGCTTCTGCATTAAACATCCAGCTCCTCAAGTTCCTCTTCATGTCAGTTCTAACTGCGAAAAACGCAAATCTTGAAGTTTCGATTGCAAGTTTATCAGAATTACGCCAGATACGACGTCCTCAGAAGTGAAATGATGGTGCTGTATCTGTTCCTCGTACGTATCTGTTGTATATATCGGTTTAATTTACAGACACACACACACACAGACTGTCACTCACTCGCAGTTTCATTCATTCTCTCACATTATAGCGCCGGCTTTCATTTGAGGACACACACGCTCGATCGCTGTGTTTGTTATTCATTCTAATATGATAGCGGCAACTTTCATTTAAAGACAACCCCCCCAAACACACACACACACACACACACGGATACACTGAGGGAGAGCGCAGCGGCGAGGCCTTTGTTGTGGCGCGAACGGCGGGTCGATGGCGCGTAACCCTTGTTAACCCTTCGGGGAATGATGTCGACCACACACAAACAAACTCCATCACGCCAGTTCAAATGAGCCCGTGGGCCTGGGAAACACCAAACACAAAGAACAGAGAGGAGAATGCAGCGATTACAGCGGAGCGGCGGCGGCGGCAGCATCAGGGGAGCGAGGGGGAGCTCAGACGACTACATAAAATACAAGAAATAATGTAGAAAAAGGCGCATCCGTGAGACTAAAGGTGGAGAGAGGAGCGGTCGAGTGTGGGCCAGAGTCAAAAGCTTAGAATGCGAGGAGTGAAGTTGACGTGTTAGGTGTTTATAACAGTAATGTGTGGAGGTGGAGGTGGCGGAGATAAAGAAGGAGGAGGATGGAGGCCTATTGTAATCCCTACGTGTGATCTAGCTGTTGGTAACTGTCTTGGTGGGAGCTCTGGGCTGAATTGTGCATCTTCTTCTTTGTTCCAGTGGGCACGATGCATAAATACATGAATGAATGAAGGGAAATGAATGCGTCGTTTTCTCTGTCTTCTTGTATTTCTAGTAGTTTTTTTAAATTTATTAAGGCTACGGCATCTTAAGAACTGTAGACCTGAGAGCTGTGCCACGAAGCAGGTTTGCCATAGCCAGGCTTTCTGTGAGTTAGCCGGCTTAACAAAACCTAAAACCCAAGTCAGAGATGATGGGTGGTTATCAGCTGTCTTCATCAACGCAGGTTCTCTGCTTCAGACTCACATAAAAAGACACTTTTAATGCTTCGTATGGCTCTTCTTCTGCACAAATTGGACCAGTTGTGTGCTGCCTACTTCAATCAGCGACAAGGAATAAAAATTTATGATGGCAAAAACTATCATATTAAAAAAAAAAACAATAATTGAATACATATTGGGTTCTGTGGCTGCACGATGCATAAAGTGTGTGAGACTGTAACTGCATGGCTCCACAGCTCAACAGGTCTGCAGATAAAACACATTCCCTCATCTGAGAATCGCTCATAGAGAATCATCAGGAAGCTTCTTACTGTTGATTTAAATCCAAAACTCTAAACAGAACCTGCAGCCTCGTGTTTGTTTTAACAGTGCCTGTGCTGCCCGTGAACATGAATTTCCCCGTATGTGAGTGGATTGTTTGTTTCCTGCTGCAGCGACGAGGACATGCAGAGCCTGGCCAGCCTGATGAGCATGAAGCAGGCCGACATCGGAAACCTGGACGACTTCGAGGAGGAGAACGAGGAGGACGAGGAGAACCGGGTCAACCAGGAGGAGAAGGCTGCCAAGATCACAGGTGCAAAAACACCTTATTATTTCTTTCTGACAGATATTAGGTTTTATAGAATCAAACATCGTAACAGCGGTGTGTTTGCTGCTCGACAATAACTTCAGTTTTCAGTGAACTCTTGTTCTTGCTGTCAGTCGCGGCCGTGTTGATGGTAAGTCCGTCTGTTGTACAAGTTGTTTGGCAGCTCGCAAATCAACATACTGTAAATGCTTACATGACAGTAACGTTGCTGAATGTGTCCGGATGAATTTCCCAAACTGACATCTTTACCTGACAAATCAAATCCCCCTGAATAATAAATAATCCACCTGAAGCCAGAATAACCGGAACCAGGGCTTCGTGTGGGGCGTCGACTTTGCTTCTCCTGTGTATCTGTGAGTGTGTGCTGCCTCAAAAAAGGGAGAATGTGTAAATTCATGAGCTTTATTCACCGTGTTTTGTGCTTCGGGGTGTTTTCTGTTGCTTTGACTTTAATTTCCCGTCCCTGATAGCCCTTGTTCCCTGCTTTCTCCTCCTCCTCGTGTTGGTCGGGCTGCTGCAGCGACGGTGGCTCGCCTCCTTCATACATACATGTTGAGGATTCATTTTGCGATCTAATGTATGGGCCCCGCTGCTTCCTGCTTTGCTTAATCCAACTTTTCAAAGCGCCACCTCTTCATGTTAAGCTTCGTGCTTTCTCTCCCTTTCTTTTCCCTTCCCTGCTCCTCATCTCATTTATATGTATATGCATTGAGCGCCTACAGCAATGCTCCACTAGCACGCATCTCTGATTCAAAGGCCGGGCCGAGCTGCCAAAACTCTACTATCATATTCCTCCTTGAATGCTACCTAAGGAAAGAAAACAACAAGCTGCCCCAGCAGTACTAACGCTAGGCTAACCAATGGAAAACATACTGTATGTTCTCTGTTTGTCTTTTTTATGCAGTATGTAAATGATGGTGAATGATAAAACTGTGTGTGTGTGTGTGTGTGTGTGTGTGCATGAGATGTGTTTTAATGTCACATATTAAGCAATGAGGGCTTATCAGTAATGTCATTTTAAGGTAGACATATGTTTCTGTTTAGCTGGTAGCATTTTGTGTGCATTTACAGCTGGAAGTTAGCTGTTCTAGCGATGCAGGTACACAGCTACCCAAAGCATGACGTGTGAATTTAACCTCCCTCTACGCACTTCAGTGTTTGTAATCATCCTTTCACTAGTTAGCTAGCTTGTAGGGCTGCACAGTGTTGGATAAAGCTGGCATTCTGTTTTTCTGCTTTGTAAATATAGTGACTATAGCAGTCTGTGGCCAAAGCTCGACACTGTTGAACTATTGACTTGACATCGCTCATCAAGGCCCCAAGCAGCCAACACTTCCCTCATCCCCAACGCAGGTTAACAGTTCTATGATCATCTGGGAAAAATGATGTTTTGCCAACAGCATGTTTTCAGGTGTTAGTCCTCATTAATAAACTGAATGGTCAGACTGACGTGGAGCTTGATCACAAATCTGCAAGAGATGGAAACTTCAGACACTTATTTTATGATGTTATGTACACCTTATCCAGTGACCAAATCATGTTTTTAAACTTCTTATCTGGCATCACGTCTTTCATGAGGTGAAAAGTGACCACATGAATGATTGCTCTCTGCTGTTTGAAACCTTTTTCATGCGGTGAAACAGTGAACGAATCATGTTGCTGCAGACAGAGCACCAGTCTTGGATCGATGTCAACCCGTCTGTATCCGAAATATATCCACACAGCTGATGTTGTGTTTATTTCTGAAAGCAAATTTGCACATGTGGGACCTGCATGTCAATAAACTCTCTGCCTTGTATGTGAAGTTTAAAAAGAAAGTTAAACCCGAGTGAGTTATCTTACATATGATGGACTTCAGATGTGGATCAGTGATGAAAAATGAGAACCGTATGAGTTTGTCTTTTTCTATTTGTTCGTGGAGCCTGCATGCCGCCAACTTGGTGTATTTTAATCAAATCAACTTTATTGTCATGTTGCTGTACATACACAGTAGTACAGGCAAGATGAGAGCGCTTCTTCAGGATCATTTAATTAGTACGTTTTGCGGCATGCACGTCTGGAATAGGCAAGACACTAAACGTTCACTCTCGCTGTCTCCTGAGGGGGGCGCTGCGTCTATGCGCGCTGCCACCAAATACAGTATTTTAAAATCTCATCGTAATAACCCTTAAATCAGAGTGAACTATTCTATCAGACAAACTTCTCTTTAGGTTATTCAAGGAAAATGAGAAGTGTGGGAATATTTCTGGTATAAAAACACTGACTATGTGTCTTAATGGTGACCTGACATACTGTGCAGCCCTACTGCTTAGTTTAACTTCACCACTGCAGACGTACAGTTCACACACTGACTTATCTCTTCACCTCTAAGTGTGTACAGATGAACAGAGTGTTGTTGCTGTGAGTGGATGCTCTGGATGTGGTGTGTTATTTTGCCTTGTTCACTGCTATTCTTCCTCCCTCCCTCCCTTCCTGTATGGACCTGTCGTTTACAGAGATAGTAAACCAGTTGAATGCCCTCAGCTGCTTACATGGGGATGATGATGATGATGATGATGGTGGCGTTGCCAAGCGAGCACGCAAAGCAACAGCTAAGCCTGCTGCTTCCTCCCAAGGTCTTTTTTCACCTTACTTTCACCTCCCTCATCCTGTGTTCCTCCACTCCTCCTTCATTGTCTTCGTACCAAAGTTTCTATCCATATATTTCTATTTTTTTTGTTGATAATTCCTCCTTTTCCTTTTTGTTTCTCTCTCCTCGGCTCACCCACCCGACCCCTCCACCCCCACATTCCCGGATCCTCCCCGACATTGTGATCGTGTTGTGGTCGTGTGGTTTTACGGTTTATCCCGGTGGTGATGTGTTGTTCATGGTGTTGTGGACATATCAGTTGGTGTTCATACTTTTGGTTCCTGTTGTTCGTGTTGTGTTTTTTTTTTTTTTGGACACTGTGATCTTCCCCATTGTTTTACTGCAATTGGTAGTGAACCAAACTAGATAAATGATATCCAAATACACTTATTCAGGCATACCACAGATGTGCTGCTTGGTTTTTAAAGTGAAATTAAGTTTTTCCAAATTAAACAGTAAGTTTTGAATCTGCTGTATTCTTATTTGGGTTAGTAGCTGGTGGAACACAGTTGCACTCGCTCAAGATGGTTTTGTGACTTTTTCAAAAAAGAGCTTATAATGGAAACACAGAGCAAACATTTAATTCACATCACTGATCAGCGATTTCTTCCAGCTGACGTGAAAGAATAACTACAACTTTCCTGATTGAAGACAATTCCTGAAGCTGTTTTGTTTTTTCTCTCTCTCTCTCATAGACTGAGGTCAGATTTGTTGGTTTCATCTTCCTCTTCATGTTTTTTTAGTGGTTGGCAAACAACTTGTTTTCATTTTTAAATTGTTTTGCAACCTCTTAAGAGTTTAGCTTTCAAATTTCATAACAGTTTTATGTTAGATCCAGTTAGGTTGGGATAGATTAAGATCTTCTAATAAAGCTCAGCGAGGTATCAGGTTCGCTGTGCGCTGAAGAGCCAAGAGTGCATGTTTTCATTGCTTCCAAAGACTAGCTAGATCATTTCATTGGTTAGTTGCTCTGTAGTTCGGTCTGCGTTGTTCTGTGAAACAACTAGTTTACTAACATTTTATCCGTTTGGCTCTCTGTAATTCGTGACAAAGCCAAAACCTAATTTCCAACCTCTCGTTTTCTACATAAAGTTTTTCTGTTTAGATGGTGAACAGTCACCACACACACAGACGTAAACACAGACCCACATGTGCTCTTGTCGTGGTCTTAACTGGGCCGTGAATGTCGTTGCTAAGAGGCAAAAAAAACTCCAAAGTGTCCCACCCCTTATCAGCCGCCGCCACCACTTCACATAGCCACACTGTACGCAGGCCGAGGGACACACATTTCTTCCTTGTTCAGACTCTACTCGGCTCTCAGCAGCGTTTCTTGGCTCATTTACGCTCTTTTCAAACTGACCCACACTCTGGCAGCGTGCGACCGAGCTACAGCGAGTATGATGAAGATAAAGTGGTCTTAGCCTCTCCAGCCAGGATCTCCATAGCAACTCCACGCTGTCTTCACGGTCTCCCACAGCTACCCTCCATACTATATAAATTTTCCCAGAATGCCACTGCTGTCCATGCACTGAAGAAGGAACACAGACAAGTTTAGGCAGCGAGACCGAATGGTCTGTCGACTCATGGTTCACTCCAAAGTGCAGATTTTGGTCTTTTTGGGTTTGTGAGTTTCGTTCATTGCATTTCAGGAGTTGTGTTGTTGTGGAACTCTCTGACCGATTAGATGCTCGTTTAAATGACTTTTTGTTGAACTGTGTGGCAACAGAGCTGATAAACAAGCTGAACTTCCTGGAGGACGAGGACCCGGACACGGCTCCCGCCATGAGCAACAACCCCTTCGACGACCCTGACGAAGACCTTCATTCAAACCACCTCAATCCATTCGGTGATCCAGATGAGGACGGTACGTGCAGCTCCGTCAACACCTGATGAAAACCTGCTCAGTCTGGTTGGCTATTGCCACCAGCTTTAGGCCTTCATCTTACTTGCATTGTTGCCACAATATAGGTGTAGGTTTTGGGGGAATGTCAGCGGGACAACAGGCCGTACACGTTGAAGTTTTGGACGCTCACATAGCGTGAACGTGCGTCTGATCATGTGTAACTGTAGCAGACTTCAACGCTCTCAGGCAGACGGCTAAACCAATATTTTTGTCTGACCACCTGAACAGGCAGGTGTGGTGGCGTGTTTCATTTGTTTCTGAGTGACTCCCAGACACATGGAGCTCCCACTCTGCTGCTTGTTTGCTTATTTAAGTTCTCTTTGATCTGATCTTACTTTTGAGTTTACTTTCTGGAGGACGTGGCTTTTAGATATTCACATTATTAGCCTCATATGTTGTTGAATTTTAAAATGAAGACACCATAGAAGCATTTTGTACCATTGCACATATAAGGAAAGTATATCAACTGACAGTTTTTGTGCTCCCATGAATGAACATATTGTCAAAATATCAAAATACTGGATGGTCTTCAGTGCTTTCCACACATCTAGTTCTACTGAGAGGCCTGAAATGTTGGTGGAACGTTCCCCAAAGACTATTTTTAATTAGAAATATGGACACATCCATATATATAAACACTTAGAAGAACCCTCTGTGGCTCTAGTAGCACCCTCATCTGAAGATTTTACATTTTCTTCCATTTTTAAGGACCAACAATTTAAAAATGAGTCCCTGCAGGCGCCAGTCGATCGTTCTGATCTGCTGGAAACAGTTTTGCCCGTGTTGCCCCTAAATGTCATGTTTGTAGAAGGTATATTTCTGCAGATATTGAACCTTTCAAATAGCTTCTCAAGTAAAACAGGAATTTTTCAGGTCTGAAAATCTGCGACGTCCTCAAAATTCAGCCAAAATATTGTATAGAACTTAGTGTTGGTGTCTGAAATAACAAAATCTGAGACGATGGAGCGACATATTTTCTTAATTCTGTCTGATTGACACAAATGGATCCGATTGCATGTAAGGATAAGGATGTTGAAATCTGAAAAATGAAAACAACCAGACAGTCCGTACAATATGAGGACTTAGCTAAGCCCAGAGCTACAGGCCCATTTGTTTGGGTTGTTGTTTAGCTTTCTAATGTAGTGAGATACCAAACTACTCAAGCTCTGGTCTGGTTCAGTTCATCCTGTGTTCCACATGCCTCAGGTGTCTCTGTTCTCCGTCTAACAGAACCTCCTGCCCAGCCGGTCCTACGGCAGCGGGTCGACGAGGATCCCTACTACGACCACGATGCCTCGAATCCGTTCGACGAGCCGGACGAGCCGGGGACACACACGCCTCCGGGGAACCCCTTCGATGAGCCCGAGCAGGACATGGACTCGCAGCCGGACCCAGAACCTCCGAAGCCCCGGCAGAGGAAAGGAGTGCGGCCTGTTGACATGAGCAAGTACCTGTACGCCGACACCGCTCACAACGAGGAGGAGGAGCTCGACGAGTAAGACTCAGTCGTGTTTGTGTTTGATGACGCAGAAATGTGAAATTATGAGTCCAGAATGTTGCTGTTAAAGAAAGCGTGTGCACCTTGTGCGTTAATTTTAATTAGTTTCACTTTCCGTTTGGTGTAACGCTTGCAACATGGGTTTCCCTTCCCAGAAGCAGCCTGTACTAGAAGCACTGTGTGAGTCTCCAGACTGCCTAGTCCGGTGGCTGTCGGCAGGCCAAGTCCTGTAAGACCCCTCCTTATAGAGGGGCACTTGTAGCCACGGCACCCTCCGCCCCCACCACCCCCCGAACAGGGCGAAGTGACGAGGCAGCTCTTTCAACGGGAACAAGGGCTCTGTTGTTTCGCTGCATTCTTTAACCTTGTCTCTCTGCTCCTTCATTCTTTGCCTCCCTCCTTCCCTCCCGTCAACTTGTTGCCCCCATACTTTCCCTCTTTGCCGTTCCTCCTTAACTTCCTCCCGGTTTATTTTTATTTCCTCTCGCTCCTCTTTCATCCTCACTTCCTTCCTCCTCCACGTTTATTTCCCTTCAGTGATGCTACTTTAGTTCAGTGACCTGAAAAAACAAGAACATTGTCAGTAATTGAATGCTACATTAGTAGATGACTTACTGCATGTCCTATCTGGAAAACAGCTTTTAATGTTGGGGATTTTTCTTTGTTTTGGATCAACTTTAACAAAACTATTAATAAACAAGGAAAGGTTGAAGTTTATAATTTAAAAAAACATGCAAAGAGACGACTTCTTAGCAAGTTTTAACGATAATAAGTGTGCAGATATTTCACCAATTAGGGACCTGCAGTGATTCTTGTCTGCTTGTTTGTTATAAACAGTCAGTCTACAACCCAAAAAACTCCGCTACGGTGCTCATGCAAGACATCCTACCTTGCTAAAGCTCATAATATTCACTTTTTTGTAGCCGTACTTCATACCGTGGGGATCCTCTCACCGACACTGTGTGACCTCTCCTGAATAGTGGCCGTGCCTGAATCGTAAACCGCCGTGGTTTGGGCTGCTGAGTGAAGCCGTCACACAGATAGCCGTATGTTTTAGCCCTCTCAGCCGTCTAAAGAGAGACAGGTTATTGACTGGTGTTTCTTTTCCTCTGTCTCTTACATCAGGAGCAGCTCCCTGCAGAATAGAAAGTTCAAGAGGGCAGCGCAGTGTTTTGACTGGAGCCCTTTCACATGTCTTTTAGCCAGTGCTGGTCTGTTAGAGCTCCTCTATAGGCCTGCCTGCTTTTCTTTTCTTCACTTCCCCTTCGCTTGCAGCCCCCCTCCATCGCTCTGCGGTTAGATGGACACCGAGCAGCTCTAACCTTCTCTTTCAGGCGGATACCTAGTCAGTCGGTTTTTGTCTTTCTGGCCCCCACCGCCTCCTTCCAGTCCTCTTGTTTGTTTAGAATTGCTTGTAGCATGTTGAGTGAATGTCTTAAGGCCATGGCCCTGCTTTCAGTGCCACAAGCATGCCTGCATATTGATAACACTGCGGTGTGTGTGTGTGTGTGTGTGTTTCCGTGCATGCGTTCGTCTCGGAGCTCCTGCCCGTCTGTCATTAGTCCACGTCGAGCAGCGAGGATATGAGGTCGCTCAGCGCTGACCTCGGTGCACCTGCATCTTCTATTAGCTTACCACTTCTGTGTGTGCGGCGCATTGTGTTGCAGCAAACCTCTGTTTCCTCGTGTTAGGTTAATTATTGTGTAGCTGGAGACCTGAAAATGTTGATAATTCTTTGCAAGGGCTGCAACTAATTATTATTTTATTGATTAATCCATTAGTTGTGTGTCCACAAAATGTCGTAAAATGACCAGATGATGTCCTCAAATGTCTTATTTTGTCCACAACAAAAAAATATTCTGTTGAGTGTCCCAGAGGGGTAAAGAAAACACAAAATATTCTGATTTAACAGGCTTGAATCAGAGAGTTTTGACTTCTTTCCTTGAAGGATTATCAGAATAGTTGGTAAGTAGCTAAATAATTGACAACTAATAAAATAACTGACTCTTGGCATTTTACTGTTTGACTCACAGATATTTATCTACAATGTTTGGTTTTGTTTTATTTGCAGCCATTTTTTTCCTTCTTTGGTAAACTTACCTAAAACCAAAGCAGTCTTCTGCAATGCAAGATCTCCTACTTTAATGATGATGTTCAGTTTTTTTTGTAGCTGTTAACGGATCATTTATAACGATTAGGAAGTGCAAACAACTCATATGATGTCTGATGCTGCAAGTCTTTAACAGAGGAAATAGTCCTAAACAGCTGGAAGCAACAAACTAAACTTCACCTCCTGTTTATATTTTGTCAAACCCAGGTTACCTTTATTAGTCTCATTCGTCTCACCTGCTGCAGACTCATTAAAGTGAAGTTTTATTGTTACGGACGTTTCAGTTTGTGATAAATGTGAACTGTCGAGCAAAGTGAATGAGAACGATACTGTGTGATTTGACATGCAAGCTGACTTTTGCTCTCTGTGGACCAATATTGTGGCTGAAATGTAGAAAAAAACGCTCTCAAGTTGGTTCACACACCTGGAAGTACATCGCTTGTCCGTTCATGCAGTGGCGCTGCTGTTAGTATAGCTGTTACTGGGTCTGACCAAACTGTCCAGATGTGTGAGCAGGATTCTCATTCAGACACGAGGTCGACACCTTCAGTTGCCGTCAGATTAACAGTAAGGAGTGCTCGTCTGAAAGGGCTTTATGGAGGTTATGTTTCCCCTTTATGGGCAGTTTAGAGGATGCAGTTTGTGCTGCTGTTGCACTGCATCACACAGAGTTATTTAATCCAACCTTGAAATGTACCAGGCGGTTAAAATAGTAGAAATCCACAGTTATTGTTTCAGTGTTTTGTTGACAATCACTGCTGGTCTTAGTTTGAGCAGGAAGGTCATACAGATGTTAATAATCTCACACTTCTGTCTGTGCACATAATATTATTTTAAAAGAAAAGGCGTTGGTCTTGTCCGCTCTCTCTAATCATCTCTCCCTTTCCCTCATTTTCAGATCCAATCCCTTCTACGAGCCAAGGTCATCCAGTCCTGCTCGGTCACCTGCTGGTGGCTCCTCTCTGGATGCAGGCAGCGGCCAGAAGAGGAGGGCCCCCCCGCCTCCGAGCAGCAGCCCCGGCCTCGGCCCCAGTCCACCACCCCACAAACCCAGCCCCGGTCCAGACAGGGAGAGAGCCCAGCCCGTCGGGCCCAGCCCAGTGGCAGTGGTGATGGGGAGAGAGCTGGCCTCCTCTTCCCCCAAGGTGAGCAGGCTTCACTTCAATCTAATACACCTAAAACAGGGACACAGATATCTGTGACAACAAACAACTCATGTGGTAAATACCTAAATACTACACAGTGTGGAAGTCTGTGCTGTGTAGCTGGTGTTTAAAGCATGTTGGGTTGAGAAGTTAGAGACAACTGATCCAGCTGGTGTTGAAAACAACCTCCAAGTAAGACACAAGGAAAAGGTTGCCTTAAAAGAAGTTATACCAGAAAAAAAACACACAAGTAAATGAGCAAGCATCTGATGCTAGTTTCCACCTTCACATTATCTTCCCTCATCGCTATAGTTGTGGTTTGGTGATGGAGATTCTGGGTCACTCATCAGAAGGTTGGACCCAAACACTACCAATCAGTCACTGTTGGACCCCTGAGCGAGACCCTTAATCCTGTCTTCTTCTTCTTGATCTTCTTTTCCTACTTGCTCTTTGAACAGGGACCGTGCATTTTTACATAGAAAACATCTGATGTATTGCATATAGAGTGTGTAGCATTAAGCTAATTTTCAACTCTTTGTCTGCTTCATCTTGTTTTTGTACTACTTGTTCTTCTACATGTTCTTCTTTTCTTCTTCTACTACTACTGCTACTGTTACTACTACTTCTTTCTCTACTACTTCTTCTTCTACCAATACTTCTAATAGTACTACTACGTCTGCTTCTTTTTTCTTTTTCTTCTTCTTTTACTACTACTTTTTCTTCCTCTACTACTGCTTCTTCTACTACTACTACTATTATTTCTTCTTCTTCTTTGTTTCTCTACTTCTTCTTTTTCTACTACTTCTTCTACTTCTTCAGGTTCTGTCCCAAGTCAGTAAATAAAGGACCCATGTGGTTAAATTACTTCTTAACATTATTCCAGACATCTCCCTCCAAAATTTACAGTGTCATTTAAACTCTGTGTTTAATTAAATTTACAGCAATGTAAACACACTGTAAAGGATTTATGCTTTTCAGTTTGATTTCATTAACTCCTAAAGAAAGTTTGTCAGCTGACCAGAGTTTAGTTTCTGGTATGTCAGTGGTACATCTCCAACAGAATTCCACAGATCCATCCTCCAGGCTGCTCACTGTTCTTCATTCTGGCTCGTCCCTCGCAGCATTTGTTATTATAAGTGAGTGACTTGAAGCAGTGTGTGTGTGTGTTTGTGTGTGTGTGTGTGTGTGTGTGTGTGTTTGTTTGTGTGTGTGTGTTTGCAGCGGTGTGTCCACGTCCAGTGGTCCTTACATTAGCTTTTTTTCCGCCTGCACAGTCTCATCTCCTGCCCCATTCTTTATGCTCACGAAACTCCCCGGCTCCTCATTTGAATATAGGTATTTGTTTATTGGGGTGTTTTCATATGTTTATTTATTTATTTAAATTAGGTAAATCATGGCTGGGTCTAATTAAATGGCTGATGGTCACACACACTCACGGCAGGAGTCAGACCACTGGTGGGGAATGATTGGCTGTGGGGGTGTGGGGTTAAAATTGTGTGTGTGTGTGTGTGTGTGTTGGTTGGTGGGTAGGTGGGTGGGTGTGTGTAGGGGCTCAATGAGCCTGTGTGGGGCTTAAACACAGGGGGCTTAACTACAGCAGAGCGATCACAAGGGGGTGTTGACCCCCTGTACACACACACACACACACACCTACACACACACAGCACATGCAAACACAGTACAGTTACTTATACACGCACAGACACACACAGCGGTCCCTCCTCCCTGTGCAGCTGGCTAGCTGACTGTTTTAGTGTAGCTGGGCGGTGATGCTGGCCGTCCATGTAATTATGGCACAGTGCCTTTATCACCCAGCTGCAGTTGCCTGTGACCGTGGGTGAGGGGGCCTAAACCACTTTAATTACCCAGAGCCAGTGGCCTGTGGTGGGCCACACTTCGCCAAGAGATGCCCCTGCCTCTGGAGCTCGGGGTGGAGGGAGGGAGGGATTCAGAAAATGAATTGTGAGTGAGGATTGGAGTGAAAGAGGGGGAGGAAAGAGTGGAGGGGGGTGCGTCGGTCGAAGGAGAATATGTGGAAGATAGTGAAGGGTAGAGGACAGCAGAGTAGCGGGGGGAAGAGGAGGAAGATGGCCAGGGAATTGTAGAGGGAGCGATAGGATGTTCACAGTAAACAAGGATAGGCCTACAGGGTTTGTTGACATATACAGCGAGTGTGAATAGGTTTCTCTTTCTTATTCACACCGAAGCGCCATGACACACGCCGCAGCCTACACATGGGCTGTGAGATGACCTTTGAATGTATGAAGTCAGAGAGGATTAAGAGGAGACATTCCCACTATGAGAGGCCAAGACGAAACCAACACATCATCACACTGGGAACGTGCACGGAGTGTAAATGTGTGCTCGAGCCGGCCGGCCGGCGTGCACGTATCTGTTCTTATAGTTTCTAGTGTGCCCAAGGCTCAGTTCGGTGAATATGTACCGGGGCTGTTATAACCTTCCCTCCAAACACGGCTAACCTCTATCTCCCCCATATGAGGTGGTTCAAGGTGTGTATTCTGCATTTCTATTTTATTTTAGCAGCTCTTCATGTAGGTGTGTAGGGCTAAGATAAACACACACACGACTGGGTTTAATCTCAGAAAGTGAATAGAAATTGATATATTGAAAGCCACCATATTCAGTTATACATTTACAACCTGCCTCCAAGGCTTTGAAATGTCTCATATGAGCTTTTTTAAAAAATGAAATCTTGCCTTTGCTAACCGAAAGAGATTAGCATGTCTTGTAGCCCATTTACATTTTCACATTTATTCGTAGCAACAGTAACACAAGTACAGCAATAGGACACAGTATTTTTATTGCTCGATCACTGTTGTTGTTGTTGTTGTTGTTGTTGTTGCACTAGAGAGTGAGCCTCAAGTGATACTTCTGTGATCTCGGGTTGCAAAGAATTACGAACCAACAAGTTTGGGAAGAATTTGTGAAAGAATCAGGAAGTCTGGCACCAAAATCTGAATTTATTCTAAACTTAACAGAACAGTGCCGTGTTTTGGCCTTGCTGAACTCTCGTCTCTTTCAGGCGTGAATTCTCTCGAGCAGACCGAGCATTAAACTTTGTCTTAGCTGCAGTTTGATCCTCCTTGTCATTGCTTTAAAACCAGCCACTTCAATGCCAGCCTGTGGAGAATCAGGACATCTACAGGACATATGGCGCGCGCCCACTTACTCCATGCACAGGTATTACACGTATAGATTGGATTTACATTAAGCCCCACCGAAAGCTCGACGCCCTGGATTGTTGCCAGCGGAGCGCACGTTCAGCACCAGCAGTTTATGGCAACACGGGAGGACCTGTGAGACCAGTATTAGCAAATTTAGTATGCAGGGTCAGTGGATGGAGATGTAAATATACAACCAGAAAGAGGCTCCAACAGCCTTTGTGTTACTGCTCATGATACCTAAAGGACTGCAGGTCCATGAAAAATCCAGCAGGTACCAAAGAGGGAATGATACAATACCTTGGTGTTGTTATGATGCCAGAATGATGACTTTGATATCATACCTCCCTAAATATGTAGATAAAATACTGAAACGACACGACATCGAGCATCTAGAGCATCAGGAAACGTGATGGAATAGTACCAAGACCTGAGAAACAGCAAGAGTGAATTACTGCACCATAGTGTTTTCATATACTTAAATATCCAACCAGAACACATTCACGTCTCTCAGACTCAACATGTCACACTGCTGCTTAGAAAAGCTTTAATCCTTGCAGATTTAAATGCAGCAGCACTTTCACTCTTTATGCAGGGATTCAGTTGATCTTTACAGCTGGTGGTGTTGGTCTACAAACTTGTGAACACATAATTTTTAACAGTTTGCAGTAGCACGAGTTAACGTTTCCAGTGAGATAGAGATGTCTGCCACAATCATTTGGCTTATTTGAGAGCGTGGACATGATGTAAGTCTGCTATCTATCACATTAGCTGATCTGTTGTTTGACTTCTTAGTGAAGCTGGACGTAAAACATCTCTTATAATCTTAAGCTGACTGTCCATTGTAAGCGATATCATGCCATATTTTGCTTTTTGCATCTCCTTTGTGGTTCGTTTGGGACTTTCTGCAGGAGCACTTGTTTGTGCAGCCTCTTGTTTTTGTCACCCTTAAAGTTTGTCACCACGAAGCTGCAGGATGTTTTATAAGGGAAGAAAAAAGTAGTTGTCCCTGTGAAAAGTGGAGCCCTGAACACACACTGCCCTACAAAATACGGCCTCTCTTTAATTACAGAGAGTAATAGAATGGAGGAAGGTATTGTTTTTAGCAGCCAGGTACTCCTTTCTAGTATCGCCGTACCATGCAACACTGCAGCAGCTTCATGAATAAGATGTTTGATGCAGCAGCGCCGGGCTTTAATGAACACTTTGAGGTCGTTGCCTTCCTGCTTTCGTCTCTTTCAGCTGACCAGTCAGCCTGACCAAAGTAAATAACAGGACTTGCTCCGGCTGGTAATTCATGCCTTTGCTTTGACTCCAGCGCGCTTCTCTAACTATTCTCACTGTTAAGCATTCACGAGTGTCACCCTGATCTTTGAATATTAAGCCGCTTCTGAATATTTCTTGTTAATATCTGAGATTTGTCTCCGAGTTGGTGAAAGTGCTCCTTGAGTCTCTCATGCCAGCGTGTCTGTACATTGTCCCGTCTGGGAGATATAGATCCTCGGATGCGTCGAGTTTAGCGTCTGTGAAGGAGCTGGAGGGATGAAAACGTCTGTGGGATTAATTTAAATGAACACAGGGAGTTCCTGTTGGGCGGGCTGCGAGCTCTGTCTGGTCTGATTCAGTCCATCTCTTCTCCCTGGGGCTGATTTCTTCCCCTCCCGGTAATTCAGTGATCCCCTGCTCCTCCTTTTGTTTCATCTCCATCTCTGTTCCTCAGTCAGACCGCTCTACACTTAGATGCGCTGATCTTTGGATTTTCATCAAGTTTCCGCTTCATGAATTATTTGCCTTATTTTCATATAAAGAAAAGTTGGG